GATGCCATCTTTCTTTTGACCACATCAGTACCACTTAATACTTTACAAACACAAATGATACTTTATACTTTCTAACAAAACTCATGAATTTCAATCTAAATATACCAAATTGTCTTCACTGTTTTAAAGTTAACATAAAATCTTGCCACAAGCACATTTTAAAATCTGAAGCAAATTCAGTGCTACGAGGGTTAAAACAAACACACACACACACACACACACACACACACGGACCCCTGGAGCCAATACCAAGCCCCACTGATTCCCAACAGCAACAGTTATCAATATAAATTAAAGATTCAAGGAAATTCAATTTAGGAATTATGTGCCATGTAAAGAATAGGGTGGTTGCCTCATACAATGCAATTAAAGACCATTTATCACACTGCCTTCCGGGACAACAGTACAGACTCTCTCGACTATTATACACTGTATTTCACTGTGTGAATGGCTTAGGAATTCAAAGGGGATACTTTCCAGCAAAACACCAATTCCAAATGATGCAACAGATTCATACCAATGTAAAGTGAAAAGGGAAGTTTTAAGGTCAGGCATTGTAAGCGATGGTGACATAGACTGAGCAGCCCATACATTAGCAGTTCTATTTCTATGGCGTTTAGAACTAAATCCTTAGTCTTTGTTTGTTTGTTGGCATTGCAAAGAAAAGGAGGGGGGGGGGGGGTTAAAAGGTTTAATTAGCAGAATCTCACTAGTATCCCTAAACAAATCAAGCACTTTTTTAAAAAAAAATTAACATTGTTTTTGTGATGAATCAAATTTGCCAAAAACACTGCTGTAGTTGAGGTTTATTAGGTTTAATTTCCAAGGCCAAATTACATTATTATAATATAATAATAATCCTTGCATTTGATATAGCGCTTTTTACGTCTTCTAGACGTCCCAAAGCGCTTCACAGAATATACTGTAAAGTGAATTGACTGCATACTCGTGGGCGAACGCGGCAGCCAATTGCACACAGCAGTGTCCCACAATCAGTCGTAGATTGAAAAGGACCAGTTTATTATTATTTTTTTGCATCATTAAGCAATGACCAAGACAAAATAAACTTCATCTAACCTCCTTGTACAAGAAGTTACAAAAAAGCACCTTTAGCATCATCACTTATCACTTTGTTTATTTCAGTTTTGCTTTGTTTAGGCAAATACAGTATTTGTACTGAGAACTGTACTTGAGACATTCTCGTGAAAGAGTAATCAACCACCTCTGCTCAGCAACCACTTGTAACACAACCAGTGTCCACCCTTTGTCCTTTTACACCTTGTGCCTTTTTACAGCCCCCTTTTCAGAGGCCAAGCCTTTTTTACTAAGGCTACTTTGGGCCAGTGCCCTGAGCGGTTGCTGAATACAGGTCTGCCTGAATTTTTATATCCAATTCAATAGTTTTTAAATCAATGATGCAAACGCGTTAAACATTTGTCAACTGTCAAAATTGTAGTTTTAAAATCGAAAATTCAATACACATTCATTCCATCCACTAAAACCATTTTTCTTAAAATACAGAGTACAATTTTTACATGTTTACATTATCTTACCTACTCCCAAACTTTCAATAACTTTTCGATATTGAATCAGCATAATAGCACAGCAGGTTAGGATTGAAATAATACATCATGTGCAGCAATTTTTTTTATCTCTCATCTCTCAACAAACCACACTAATTTCCTGGCTGAACATACCACATATTACTATTGTACACTTCCTATCAGTAAACTTCCTATTTTAGTAGAACTATTCAGACTCTGTGCCTTTAACTCTTCTACATATCACCCGTCTAAAGTATCTTCTGTCAACGTCCCCAAATGGCCATTTTACCTATCATATTAATGTACTTTCAAATCCCTTTGGGAAACCACTAACGATCAGTCCAGATGCAGCCCCGGTTTCCTGTCAAAATCGGGTGTTTTGTTTACACTTGAAAAATGTTAACAATTTGCTTACAATCTAAATATTTCAAACAACAACATCAACAATAAGATTACATTTGTATAGCGCCTTTCACGTTGGGAGGACGTCCCAAGGCGCTGGACAGTGTACAGCATTTCAGACCCGAGCTGGGGTCGGGGAGGGAGAAGAGAGGGGAGGGGGGTGACCGATGGCATGGTTGAAGAGAAGGGTTTTGAGGCGGGACTTGAAGGAGGCTAAGGAGGGGGTGAGGCGGAGTGATTGGGGGATGGAATTCTAGAGGATGAAGGCAGAGTGGCTGAAGGCTCTCCCGCCAATGGTGGGTCGGGGGACGTGGAGCAGGCCAGAGCCGGCTGAGCGGAGGGAATGGGCGGGTTGGTAGGGGGTTAGGTCGCAGAGGTAGGGTGGGGCGAAGCCATAGAGGGCTTTGTAGGTGAGGACCAGGATCTTGAACTGGATCCTCTGAAGGATAGGGAGTCAATGGAGTCGGGTGAGAATGGGGGAGATAAGGGTCACGGAGTTTGGTGCAAGAGAGGACACGGGCTGCAGAATTCTGGATTATCTGCAACCTGTGGAGGGAGGAGTTGGGAAGGCCGACAAGCAGGGCGTTTGCCTGGAGGTGATGAAGGCATGACAAGAGTTTCAGCGGCCTGAGGAGTGAGGTAGTGGTGGAGGTGAGGGAAGGCAGAGCGGGTTATGGTTTGGATATTTGGATGAGGGGAAGAAAAGACAGTTGAGGGTCGAACAAGACACCAGGTTCCTGACGGGCTGGTGAGTTGTAGTGTGCAACCATGGAGGTTGATGCTGCTAGAGCCTGAGGTGCTGAGGCGCTGGCGCGAGCTACTCAGAAGGGCCTCAGTCTTGTTCACATTCAACTGTAGGAAATTTGCCCTCATCCAGGACTTGATGTCCAACAGGTAGTCTGTCAGGACAGCAGTGGTCCTGGACATACAGCAAACATACAAAAATAAATTACATTTGTAAAGCGCATTTCACGTCGGGAGGATGTCCCAAGGCACTGAACAGTCGGGGATAAGACCGTGTTTATAGCCAGAACACACAACCAACATTAGAGCAGAAGTAAAAAAACTTAAAATCTTTTCCAAAAAGATAAACATCTAACTTTGTAAATAAGAGGATAATAATGTTAAAGTCATTATTATTAATAACAAGTCTTATTATTAATAATAATCTTGCATTCAATATAAGACCTTTCATATCAGGTCTCAAAGCACTTCACAGGATTTAGTGCAAAGTATAGTGATTGTATATTTTCTAAGCAAATGTGGCAGCCAAATTGTACATAGCAATGTTCCACAAATAGCCATGAAACAAATGAACAATTTTGTCTGAAGGGTTGTTGGCCAGAATACCTGGAGAAACTCCTCCCCAGCAATGGAGTATCAACCTTGACGATGCAACATCAAAGTCCTGATGCGGGACTTGAACCCTCAAGCTGACTCAGAGACTGCTACCAACTGAACCAGGCTGACACACTTGTCCCACTTGTAACATATTTAGGCGGTGTGATTAATAAATCCAAGATACCGTACAGAACTACATGTGACATATGTGTAAAAATAAATTTTCATTCACTGCCATTCTTTTAGGCTGCTTTGCATTATCCAAATTTCTGTTGAAGAGTTCTGACCTAAACAGGCCCAGATGAGATCTCAGTGGAATATCTCATTCAAAGTACGGCGCCTCAAGCAATGTAATGGTGCGTCGCCACCCGCCCCAGATTGCAAGCTCAAAGTCAGATCTTGGGACACTTCAGAAATTAGAAAGATGGGAAATTCACTGATCAAATCAGCAAGGAAAATTATGTGTGGTTGGTTTGCCATAATCCTTTTAATTAGAACCCTTGGAACGGTACATGTTATATTTCCCTTTCCACTGAGGCCAACCCAGGTTGATGGGGGGCTAAGGGTGAGCATTTATTGTGTATGGTGGGGGAATCGCAAAGGAGAGAGAAGACAGACAAAGCTGGTGGTGCCCAGTTATTGGGTGGGTTTAATGTCAACACCCAGCAGCAATGTTGCAAGATGAGGCGTTTTCACTTGTATTTGTTGAACTGTGTTTAAAAAAAACAGCAAGTTTTGGGTGGGTGTCTGCTTTTTTGTTTAATTTTAATTAATATCCTACGAAAAATGGAGTGTGTTTTGTTTATTTCCTGTGAAGACCTTTTTCTTAAACTGTTTCAAAACAATAATCTAAATTGGCCACTCTGCTGTTGCCATCCATAAATAGGCAAGGCAGAATAATATGCGGGTTTTTTTTTAAGGAAGTTCAGGTAGGGGGATTGCAGTTGGATAAGCAACAGGAAGGCTTGTCAGATAGCGATATCAATGGCAAACTATGCAGTTTTAGCCTTCAGCAGTTACCCCAACAGACTCTGGGGTCCCCAAGTCTTGGTTCTTGCCAACATGTGCCTAATAATTTCCGGGATTAGGTAAGCAGGATGTGTCCCTCCAGGGAGAGCGATCCATTCCAACAATCTACCCCTGGAATTACCACGTATTGGTGGGATGCATGGAATTCTCAGTTTGGTTTGGCTAAGCTTAAGCACGGGGATAGGTTTCCCCATGTGTCAGACACCCACCCAGCTGCCACCCACCCACCCCCCCCAAAAAAAATAATATGGGTCTACATTTGGCGCTAGTATTTTAGTGATTTGGTGGGTGGGGGGGGGTTTACAAACATATTTAATTTCTGGTAAACCCTGCCCAGGCGACAACCGAAGAACGTAAGTATTTGCCGGGCGAAAGAAGACCGAGGACCGTCCAGTTCGCCTTCCACCACCCTCCTGCCAAGCGTCTTGCACACGCGGTGCGTGTCCCGAGCTGTACGGCGCACTCCAGGGGTATTATTTCCCCAGCGCACGTCTCATCTAATCTGTCCTCGGAAGAATCGACCCTCGGTGCTCCCACCGTCGCCCCTGGGGAGTGGAGGGGGGGGGGGGGGGAGTGAAGTGAGGTGAAGAAGGAGGAGGAGGAGGAGGAGGGAGGGAGGAAGGTGTGTGCTCCTCCCCCCCCCCCCCTCTCGGTGAATGGGATGGGGAGTCAGGTCATACCCACCCGGTCTTTCATGCGCCAACTCTGAGTCACTGCCTTCGAGCCCTCGATCTTCTCCGAGTGTCGCTTCTTCATGAAAGTCACGGGCAGGTTCCAGTCGGTCAGGTCGCCCTCGTCCTCCTCCAGCAGCTCCTCGAGCAGACTGGCGCCCGCCATGGTGTGCTGCTGCTGCTGCTGCTGACGCTTCACCACCGACAGGAGTATCTGAGAGGAGGAGGAGGAGGAGGAAGAGGAGGGGGTGGGGGTGTGTGTGAGGGTGAGGAGGGGGTTATAAACGCCAAATAGAAAGACCACCGGGGCTTCAGCTGTGAGGGCAGAGGGTCGTTGTGTCCGGATTTATCGGCTCCGAGGGGGAAGGCGTCGGCTCCGTCTCCGCCTCGGCCTCTCAGCCTCCAAGTCGGCGGCTCTCATCGCGGCCGCGCGGGGCCCGCCATCTTGGCCTAGACCGGCATGCACAGCGCGCTACGGCGCGGCGAGCGGCTCAGTCCGACCTCTGCTTTCGCGTTCTCGCTCGCAACCTTCACCCACCGCCTCCAGCCCCGCCCACTGCCCCCTCAGTCCCGCCCACTGCCCCCTCAGCCCCGCCCCAGCCCCGCCCACCGCCCCCGGGCGGATTGGCCGCGGGTTCCCACGCCCAATTGGGCGGGTTTTTTTTATATGGGGGTGAGGTGGGGGTAAAGCTCTAATTTAAATTGCATTTCAGTCTGCAAAACATGTATCCCCCCCCCCACCCCCCCCACTCCACCCCCCCCACCACCGGCCTTTGAATACGTTTTCTTACGCAAATGTCAAAAGCGCTCACCTGGATCGGCTGCTCTGATGCCCGTTAGCAGGCGAGACGCCCCGGGTTCGATTCCAAGCGGGGTGGGGGGTGGGGGGCGGGGGGGCGGGGGCGAAACCTCGGGCCGGGTTTCCTTACTCCGCATGCCTGATAAGAATCCCTCCAAAAGAAAACCAACGACAATAATTAATCGGTCACTTTCGATCCGCGGCTGCTTGTGGGGACGCCGCTGTGCGCGATTGGCCGGCCTGCCGGCCGCGTTTCGCCCGCACGTCTACGGTCAATTCACTTTCACAGTCTATTCTGTGAAGCGCTCTGAGACGTCGAGAAGACGCGAAAAAGCGCTACTATATCAAATGCAAGGGTTATTATGTATTATGTATGATTATCCATTGAGGTGGGCTACTATTTGGTGGGCTTTGGGTTACAAACGTACAGTATTTTAATATCAGGCAAATCCCTGTGTCTGGCAATCTCTCAGCTCTCCCTTCCCCCGAGTCAGGTCGGCAAAGGACAGGTCAGGAGGACTCATAAGCGAAGTGCAACTCAAAAAAAAATGATAGATTTATCTTCGTATCAAACCCCAGCAAGCGTCAGTCAGTCCCTTGAGAGTGAACAAGTTTGGTGCGATATAAGTCGTTCGACAGACATTGCGACACAAAAATAAAAACTTCCCTTGATTAGAATTCTCTTCAGTTTGCGCCATCTTCAGAGCACGAAATGCACACGACTCAGTGAACACACAACTTGTTAACCAAGGGAAGGAAACCTCTAAACGCCACATAACCACACTCATGTAGTTGTGCAAGTGGGAAAATGTGCTTGGTATAAACACAAGAGCACACTATCACAGGGCCTTGTGGTTAAAACAACAATGATCACAAGAGAGGTTTGGATGAGGAGGTTCATTTGATCTCAGCCCTCCCATCTTCCCATCACAGTGTCAAGCTATTTCTTAAATGGTGTCCTGGCCTCAACCACCTTTCCTGGTAATCCTATTCCAGTCATTAATTACCTTCTTGGTAGATAAATACTTCCTGGTGTCTGTCCTGAAATTACCCTCTCCAGCTCTGGACCTGTGCTCTCTTTCTTGTTCTGCTGTCCTGGTGTATCTGAATTATTCAGGCGCTGGGTCTGATCACATGGACTACACATGATAGAAAAATTCAGCCTTCCAACTGAGCAAGCTCATGCCCAGCAATGTCCTTCAGTGACTCAACTGACATTAAGCTGCTAACGCTGGTTTCTTTAGATGAGATCTGATTTGAGAGAAATGTTCTGCCCACTTGAGTGAAACAGATCATTTGTTAACCAGTTAGGTGTCAACAACAGATCTACTGATTGAAAAGCAATCTAAAAAATATCAACTAATTCTGAAATTCCCGACATTTCCAACGATTAATGATTGGAGCCGGTGAACCTTTTAGCAAGTGGGTCCCCATGAGCTGTCAATACCACAAGAACCTTTTCATCAGCAAGTGTGGACCTGTTTAACAATTAACCTTCGGAATTTATTGGCAGTCACCTCAATCCCAGACGTGATATAGCAACCAATCTCCCATCACTGTGCTTCATATCATCCAGTGATCTCTAGTCATTAAAACAAAAAAACTGTTCAGTAAGCCAGCTGACAGCAAAATTTTGTCAGTACACTGCAACTTATTTTTCTGTGTTCAATTTGTTTTTGTTCCTTCCCTCTTTGTATCCTGAAGGTGTTCTATTACTTCTTCTAACAGGGAGATAGTTTCACAAGCATCAAGTGTCAATGTCACAAGATTCATGGCAAAACATATAAGATTTATATTTTAACAAGTGGATAACCAATTCTCAGACAACTTCTATGGAGCGCTTTGAGACGTCTCAACAATGTGATAAGGCGTTATATCAAATGCAAGGATTATTATTGTTATTATTAACTTTACAAATCGATGCAATTAATTTCTACTTGAGTCAATATTGTGGAACTTAAGATGGATTGTTGACCTGTTTTCTAAATTAGGAGTTTGTGAATGGAGACTTTTTAACCTCCCGCTGTGGTATGTTCCACGTGGATTTCCTGATACTATCTTTCCTTGTTGCTGGAATATAACCAGTGGAATCCTATTTACACCACCTCCTACTACACTGTTTGTCTCTGGCCTAGGATGCATTTTGCTTGTGATTTTTTGGCGAGCAGATACATTTTGCACCTACACTGGGGAGATAATTAAACTCAGAATAAGCAAACATCCCAGAACTTACAGCCTGTATCCTACAGAATGTCACCTTGAAAAGCTACGCTGTATTTGACTGAGATATGGTTTCCAGACTAAAAGCAATAAGAAATAAGCGATGAATCATTGAGGTTCTTACCCTCATGAGATCCCAAAATATATTCCCTAATAACCCACCGACTCCATGCTTGTGAGTTAAAAAAAAGTTGTTCATGTTTTTGTATTGCAAATCATCTGTTTTGGGTCCTGCGCTTCCTTTGGAGAGAGAAAAGCAACCCTTCACAGTAATTACTAACTGTTTTGGTCGGCAAATGCGGCACTCTTTTGCACATGGCAAAACAGAATGACCAATTTATTTGGGGCATTTGGTGGCCAAAGCTGCAGGAGATCGACTTGAAGAATAGTCAGGCAAGACCTCAATTTAACATCTCATGATGTGAAGCAAGGCACCTCTGACACTGAAGCATACCCTGAGAAGTCCCTATATCCCTCTGTGGGGCTTGAACCCACAACCTTTAATTCAGAGGCAAGTAATAATAATAATAATAATCCTTGCATTTGATATAGCGCTTTTCACGTCTTCTTGATGTCTCAAAGCGCTTCACAGAATAGACTGTAAAGTGAATTGACTGTATATTTGTGGGCGAAACGCGGCAGCCAATTGCGCACAGCAATGTCCCACAAACAGTCGTGGATTGAAAATGACCAATTTATTATTGTCTTTTGTTTTTTTTGGAGGGATTATTATTATTGATGATCAATCTGTAAAAGGCAGATCACAGAACTCTAAGGGTATTGTGAAATGTTGATCATATATGACAGAACCAAGTTTGATAGGTAAGAGAATAATCAATTAGATTTACAAGGACTTAAATAGTAGTACAACCTGAGCCAAGCTGATGCTTTAAGCACACATGTCCAGTGAAGCACTTTACCAGTATCTTTCTAAGGGTGTACACATATGACAATCAACTCATTATCATCAATCTCCAATTCCATCACAAGGAATTGAAAGAAATACATTGTGCATGAGTTGACTTTCAACAATCCACATTGATTTGGAATTATTCCCTCTACTCTTAAAATTACTTTTACATTCGACTATCACATTTGATGATATGTCAAACATCAGGGTAACAAGCCAATAAATCCCCCTGCTCATCTTTCTGACTTTTTTTGAACCAAAAAATTGGAGCATTACTGTAGATATATTTCTAATATGATGCAACTCCTCTAGTTAATGAGCTGCTGGGAAGCTCCATGTTACCCTATTTCTAAGCTTGTTGCCTTAAATATTGGAACCATTCCAACCTGTTGCCTCATGATTTATGAATATACAAGGACTTTTGTGATCCCCAAATTCCTCATGTTATTAGGCCTTCAGGCCATTGTCTTGATATTTAAAATCGTACAAAATTCCTAAATAAAGCCTCCGTGAGCACATGGAGAATTCTATATAAGAATGAAAAAAAAACAGGCCTTTTCATTGAACTGATGGTAATGCATTGTGCAATATTGCTATGCGTAATTGGCTGCCGCATGTTGCCCACAAAATACACAGTTAATCTATTTTATAATATATTCTGTGAAGCACTTTGAGACATCTGAACGACGTGATAAGGCATTATACCAACAACAAATTTTATTTTTTAATAACCTTTGCATATATCAAATGCAAGGATTATTATTATGCTATGCATTTTTTCCATCCACCCTGGTGGTTAACTGGTGAGTGCCTGGGTTTAACTATAGCGAGATGCTCCTATCTCTCAGGCTAATGGAAAGTCTGCTCAGTATTCCTGGAGTGAACTGTCCATTATTGTTCCTGTACATTAACATTTACCAGCATTAGCAAGCTCTCCCTGCTCAAATTGATTTCTTAACACAATTATTCTGAGTTCCAAGACTTTTTGGTTCGTATTTTCTCCCAGAGGTTTTTCTGTCGGGACGTTCAGCTCACGGTCATGGTCCTGCAGATCAAAGGTTTTGTTACCTATAAGAATATTAATCTGGATTAAGAAAAAGCACGCGAGAGAAGGTGCTTTGAAATAGTTCTCCCTGAGGACTCAGAGGGTTAATGACCTGGTAACAGCAACAAGAATGATCCTTGGTTTTGGTTTTGCACCTTCTATAGGATTGTATGTCATTCCGACTACCAACCCCCATCTACCCTCCCCTTCCAGGAAGTTCATGAAAGAGGAGAGGGGATCCCAAAATTTGAGTGGGTGAGGGCAAGAACCAATAATAATAATAACCCTTGCATTTAATATAGTGCCTTATCCTGTCTTTGAGATGTCTCAAAGCGCTTCACACAATATATTGTAAAGTGGAGTGACTGTGTATTTTGTGGGTGAAAAAAGAACCAAGGAAAATGCTCTTGGGATTCATGATGGTCCAAGGGTCTAAAAGGCACTGTGCATTACACAGGCCCTATAGACCATCGGAAAAGCACATTA